CTAAATCCTCCGTGTGACATCAGGCCGATGAAGATAATGTTGGTTCGGTCGGACACAAAAATGTTAAAGTGTCCATCTCATGTAAAATCAACTTTTCAGATCTTTCTACCTTCTAAGAGTGATGTGTGGGCCTTGGATTTGTTGCTGAAGTGGTTTTTAGATTGATTTGGCATTGTTTTAACAAATTGCAGTGTATTTGTGCCTCCCTCCCACATGACGATGAACTAAAGCTGCTACAACGATGACGCGACGGATTCACCTATGTTTGACGAAGCAGAAAACGCTTCACACCCTCCTCCTTCAGTGAACACAATATAATAAGTTTATCTACTAGTGTTTATTAAAACTTTACCAATCAATAATGTTCAGATGATGTCGACGCGGTGCTTGAGCTTCGTGCTCCTCAAAGTCCTCGTCTACGGAAGCCGAGAGGGGTCACGACAAACGCAAAGGCTGCAACAAATACAAATGCGACAACACAACAAAAAGCCACAACAAACCAAAAAAAGCCACAACGGAAATGAACGCGGGACTCTATTTTCCGACAGACCGATCAAGCGGCAAGTGAAGAAGAAGAACTACAACGTGAAAAGTAAAGGAACGGAGAAGTTGGAGACGTAAGTAAAAGTAATTTATTGTTTTATCATTATTCGTTTCACGTTGTAGTTCTTCTTCTTCACTTGCCGCTTGATCGGTCCGTTGGAAAATAGTCCCGCGACGTGGCTTTTTAATGTGTTGTGGCTTTTTAATGTGTTGCTGCATTTGTGTTTGTGTTGTGGCGTTTGAATTTGTTGCGGCGTTTGCATTAAAATAGAGTCCCACGGTCACTTACGTTGTGGCTTGTTTTGGTTTGTTGTGGCTGTCAGAATAATTCTATTATCCCATATTTGCTAAATGCTTGTGTGATATTCTAGGCCTATGAGTTAAACCATTTATGTACTACAATTCCTTGATTTATAATGTACCAATCACTTGTATGAATATGAATAACCTCTTTGTGTTTGACAACTGTGTGCAGTGACCTATCGCTCTTGTGAACCTCGAGATGATTCCTCACATGAAGCCAACTCCTGACCGTTGGTCTGATGCCCACTCTCTGCCCGTTCTCCTCATGAGTAAAACTGAATTAATCTCTTGTCTTTCTTCTTGTTTTAAAATGTCTAGATAAACCTAACAGTGGCTTTTTGTTGTGTTGTCGCATTTGTATTTGTTGCGGCGTTTGCGTTTGTTGTGACCCTCTCAGCTTCCATACTCGTCCGATTCCGGGTCCAACACATGCGGCTGAACGCGCTGTATCTCCATGATGAATAAAAGTTTATTCCTGCCGCTGTCAGGGTCACGCCTGTCTCCCCTCCCTCCCTGAGACAGTGGAGGAAGGGCGGCTCACTCGTCGCCTACGTCACGTGTGGAGGGCGGAGCCTGTGCTTTCTCAGGACGGGCGGGGGGATGAACAATAGTCGGACTTTTATAGTTCCTGGTCTGTGACGTCTCCAAGAAATCAGTAAGATTTCAGAACTATTGTGTCATGGATGTTCCAAAACCCAAACTGTGCTTGAACATGTGCAGAAAATACAATGTGAAAGGAATTATTTTACATCAGATCAGGTTTGAATCAGATTGGATCACTGTTCTGTCAGACACTGGGCCTGATCCACACTTTAGTCTTCACCTCTAAAGCTCTAAACGCTCTGCTCCACACTGTGATGTCATGATGTGGTAGTTTTCAAGTGAACCTTGGTGATTCTCGTGTTTTCCAGGAGCCTAAATGTGCAGGGTTTGTGTGTTAAATGAATGAATCAAAACAACACAAACACAAACACGGTCACGGGTCTGTTGTTTGTTTGTGATGGAGAAACTCGATCAGAACGGAGAGAAACTGGACACTTGGACACTTTAAGCCTGAGATGTCTCCACAGAAGAGTCTTTTTTCGCTGGGAGTTTGTGGTGAGGGCAGATCTGGGCCAGAGGAGTTCCACGGCTGGTTTTCTCTGGTCGCAGGAGGAATGTTCTCCGTGTGGAACCTCAGGATAATAACAGGGTTTAAAAAGACACTGGCTCTCTCCATTCGCTTCCATTTCTCCCACTGGAGACGGATCCTGACCTCAGACTCAGTCACTGCTCTGACCTTCTGACCAAACCCTCACAAACTTCTACTCACATCTCAACTTTAAAACTTGATCCAATTATCAAAAACTTGGAAATCATTTTGTCATTTTTATGAAAGTATAAACTGCATGTGTCGACAGATTTTAGTCCAAACTGTGGAATAAACAAACGCACGAGTAAGAATACAGTTTAAAACACTGTATATGAATGAGAACAATGGAAACTGTGGCTCAGTTTAAAGCTCCTCTGTCACAGTCCTGAGAGGTTAAAGTCACAAGAGTCAGTTTGGACTCACTATACTCAAGAATTTAACTCAGTTCTGCACAATATTAATTGTATTTCTTTATAAAATTCAGTAAATCTCATTGTTGTGACGCTGCTCAGACTCAGAAGAGTTTATGTTCTGACTCATGAAAAAGTAAAGCAGCTGAACAAAAAATATCATTTAAAAAAACACGTCTAAAATAAAATTAACGCAGCTTTAGTCCAGGCAGGAGGTCCAATGATAAAACATGTTTAATTTTATAATTCTGAATCATCTTAAAGAGGCCGGTCAGAGTCGACCAGAGGACAGAATGTGTGTCTGGAGCTGCTCGAGGCTCAGGTCTGATGTGACCGTCACAGACGACGTCTCAGAAGATCTAAAAGACGAGCAGCGTCTAAACTCAGAGTTTCTGCTGCTTCCCTCTGATCAGAGACTTTTAGTTCCAAGATCTAGAACAAAAGTTTTAAAAGGAGCTTTGTTCCAGCTGCTCTTGGACTTATGAATAAATTGTGATCTATTTATTTATCGATTTTAGTACCATGTCTGTGAAAATTGGTGTTTTTATATGTGTAATACTTATTGTGATTTTTAGTCAAGTGGAATGAATGAATTGAATTATTTATCAAACAAAACCGTTCTGCACTGGAGCTCTGGAACACTTTATTTGTAACTGTGTTTTCATTTGGGTTTATCAATGATGATGTGGATGAATAAAACGTGAAATGTGGGACCAGCCTCAAATCTGCAAAACAAATTCATCTACGAGTACGAATAAAACGACCGAACCAAACCTGCGTTCTAATGTTCCCAGTCAAAAACAGAGCTGGAGTTGTGTTTGTTTGAGTAAATCTTTATTCTGAGTCTGTTACGTCTCCAAAGCTCCATCTCTCTGTTCCACCTGGTGATGTCATGAAGTTCTCAGCTCCTTTTCCCTTTAGCTCAGTCGAGATCAGCGACTCCAGCTCTGAAATGATCCAGGTGATTCTAGTGAAGGTGTGTGGAGTTTAAAAACACAGTGGAGCACTTCCTGTATCACCACATGATGACATCACAAGGTGGAACAGAGTGACTTCAGTTTGAGAGAAGAACTCGTTTGTGTGTTAAACATGTGAATGAAACAAAACACAACTCCAGTTTGTCTCTGTGTGTGTCGAGGAGAAACATCAGAACAGATCAGATTTTAGTGAAGTTAAATATTGAACCATTTTGAGAAAAGAGAATAAGAAGAATCGTCCTGCTGCATTCCAGAGGTCTGTGTCGTGGTGCCAACCCTGAGGGAGCAGAGGTCCTCAGAAGTCCTCCAAGGTCCTCAGAAGTCCTGAATCTGTCCACACGCGGCTCCTCCTCGACTCGGCTCACGGGCGACAGCTCCAGAACACAGCAAAAACACACTCTACTTTTTTGAATAAAAGAGCACCTTTTATTCCTCACCTTTTATTGCATTTTTCATATTTTTTTTAATTCTGTAAACAGCTTTGCAGAATTAAAACAATAAAATATTATATAGTTATTTTAAAAAGAGGACCAAAAGTATGTATAGGATTCTGCAAAATTGCCTATATTTCTTTTTTTTTTTTTTTCAATCACAACCAATTATCTGTCAAAATATGAATCTGAGAAACACGGCTGCAGTGACGTCACGCCAGGGAGAATCTACATATGTCTCTATGGCAGAATCTTCAGCGGTTGCCATGGAGACTCAGCGCGCACATTAGAGCGAACGCTGTGAAAAACAAAACTCAGGTTAAAGTCTAACTGGAGCGACAGGGCTTCAGACAGAGCAGTGCTTCAGTTAGCTTCATATTTTTTTTCTGTTGATGATGCGACACGAGGGTCAAAAGATCGACAGGAAAATGAACTGGTTGCTACGGGAAACGATCCAAAAATACATAATCTGATTTGTTGCTCAGATGTTGATTTTCGATCCATAAAGTTCAGACTGATCAAAAGTTTACGCTGTTGCCATGACGATTAACTATTAAAGACCAAATATACTCAGCCCCAGGAACAGTAAATGAACAGTAAAGGCAGTGAATCTTGCACAGCGCCACCCGCAGGCACCAGCAGCTCACTACACCCTCTGATTTTTTCAACCGTTTCCCCCTAAAAAAGTTTTAAGGAAACCAGTGTATTTGTGCAGAGCTGGCAGAGGCCGGTGCCCCCTCCCCCCCGTCCCCCGCCCCAACCCCGGCCCCCCCTCCCCCCGTCCCCCCGTCCCAACCCCGGCCCCCCCTCCCCACCGCTCCAGCCCCGTCCCAACCCCCCCTCCCCACCGCTCCAGCCCCGTCCCAACCCCAACCCCGTCATTATGAAGGAAGCTCGAAACCACATCCACCCTGGCTCTGCGTTTAAGATTCCACAGAGCTCATAACACTCCCTCATTTTTGAGCACATTCCAGCAGATCTGAGGTGGTGCGGTCGAGCGGTGGTCAGCGTGGAGCCTGGGGGAGACACGAGGGGGACATTTAAAGGGGGACGTTTAAAGAGGGGACACCGGCTCTGATCGTCCCCGCGGCAAAGGCTCTCGGGACCTCAAGGACAACTGGCTAATAAAATCCAGACAACGCAATTATGAAAGTTTCTGGTGAAAATAAAAGAGTGTGGAGGAGTGAGCGAGGAGCGAGAAACACGACGAGTCTGAAAAGAAAGACGCCAGTGTTTAATGCAAATACTTTATTATGAAGGTGTGATTGCTATGTGTGTTGGACTGGATATGAATGGTATATAAAAACTATACATCAAATCCAGGTGTGTCCATCTGACGTGTGGACGTTTGTGTCTCAGGTCGTATTGAAAGATTTATTGTCTTAATACGTTTATATATATAATATATATAAGCCAAAGTGCATTTCCTGTTCCTCTGTCCGTATACACATTGCACCGTACATAAATAACCACATGTAAAAAGACTCCGTATTTACAAGTACAATATAGATTTCATATAATATATAAAACTTTATATTAAATCTAGGTAGCAGATATTTGGACAGTCTGTTATCTGTGAGTGTTGAGGAGGATCTCGAGCCAACAGGGGCACGAGGTGATGAACTGTCTGGAGTAACAGGGGCCCCAGCCTTTAGCGAAGCTGATCCTCACGCTGTTGGGGTCAAAGGGCCCGTCCAGCTCCGAGTCCGAGCCGCGGCGCAGGGCGCACGAGCGCTCGAAGTCGAACACTTTGATGGAGAAGCCGGGCATGACCTTCCTCACCACCAGCGCCCTGGAGCCCGGCGCGTCCAGCGTGGGCGAGTTGACGAAGATGGGGTGACGGCTGCGGTTGTACGCCCACACGCCGTCCGGCTCTTTGCTCAGGAGGATGCCGTATCCGATTTTCCCTCGAGTCCTCTGCACCGTGCTGCTGCGCTGCTCCAGGCTGAGCTGGCCCAGGCAGAAGCCTGTGCCCTGAGGTAGATCATAGAAGATGGAGACGGAGTGTTCGTAGACGGTGTAGAGACGCCCCACGCGCGTGCGGTGCTCCCAGTACGCCACGTTACACCAGTGGACCTGCTTGAGCGCGTCCGGGGACAGACTGGCAT